CTTGAAAACTTAATCAATTAAGCATGCTAACTAGACAATTGCATTGTCCAAATTTCATTACTCTACAATAAATTTTTCTTGGTATTGAAATTTTTTTCCCATCAGTGTATATTTGATTTTTCTTCTCATTTAATACATTTAGTATATGAGTACCATTAATTGTGCTTATATCAAATTTGATTCCTTGCCATGTTTATTATAGCATATTTTCATCAGCGACCCTCTGCTTTAAATTAAGTTTCTATACTTTTGCTTGTTACACAATATCTGTAATATACTCCCTGAAAGAAGTCAATCAGAATTATTTTGGTGTGCATGGGTGCCCAAGGAAAAATGTGCTTTGCTTCCAATCCACCAGTCGGGAAATACTCACAAGCATACAATCCTAAGTGTGGTGGTGCACTATCACCAGTTCCTTTCAATAAACCATAATACTTGCTGTAGCCATTTTGTTTTGGGTCATTTGAAAATATCTTATTCTTCCAGAGGGTATTCTAAATTTATAAATGTTACATAAACTGTTAGTGATACATAGAAAGATTAGATAATGTCATTTGGTTTTTAATAAATTTTTGAAATTCTATAGAGACTATATGGATAATCTGTGTATTTACGTCTTTTTTTTATTTTCTGTATTTGTGTCGGTGAACTGATTATTATATCTGAATTAAATAATTGAATCTAGTTCAAATTCTAATTTTAAGAATTTATTTCTTTAGAAATGTACAAGCTATGACAGAAATAAAAACAGATATTGGTTATGCCAGAGCTTTTGTTAGGCTAGCATTAGAAAAAAAATTACTACACAAACATTTACAGAAATTGTTATCAAATCAAGATTTGCTCAGGTAATTTTTTTTCTTCCATTTCTTGACATTATTGTAATATTTAATAATAATTTCTCCTGTTTCTGATATGATTCTATGTTTCTGAAATTGTAGGAGTTCTTATAAAAGATATGCATTTCTGCGTTGTGAGGATGAAAAAGAGCAGTTTCTGTATCATTTGTTGACATTGAATGCAGTTGATTATTTTTGTTTCACCAATACATTCACATCCACAAGTGAGTATATTTATTATTTCTGAAATTTTAAAATATATATTGTCATCTTTTAAGTTTTTAATTGAATGAATTATTTAAACTTACAAAATAATTTAATTGTGCCTATATTGAGTTATAAGTGGTAGTTGTTTTTTTTTGATGAAAAAACTGAATAAAAATGGTAATTGAACCACAAAATTCTATCAAGATTGAAAAATATTAAACATTTTTTTAAGGGAAGAGTACAGATCAAAATACTTATCTAAGCAGGAAAATGTCTTTTCCAGTATTTGTTGAAGCATTATTTTTTTCTTTATAAATTGTTTAAAAATTTTTTTTCTTTCTCTAAAAAGGTCTCAGTTTGTGTAGATGCTCTTTCCTAAATTCTTTATTTCATGTTAAAAAATAGTACTTTTCTTAAGCATTTTAAAATAGATATCATTTTAAAATATATAGATTATTACATGTGTCTTATTATTAGATGTGTGTGTCTTTGGTCTAATTACTGAAATTTTTATAACTTTGAGTTTATTGTTATTGCTTTTCTATTTAATAAATGTTAAGATTAGAAATAAAGAAGTTCACCGTCCAAGTTGTTTTATTTAGTGTTAGTTAATATTTATTTAGAATTGACAACTAGAAATTGGCATCCATGTCCAGTGTGTCGATGTAGACAGTAATTTTTAATTTAAACCTTTTTGAAGAAGTGAAACAGCATCACATGTTATTATTCTCCCACCCTCCATTACAGAGTTCTTTGCAGTTGAGAAGAACCAGAGCATATAAGGGCACATGGAATAGTTCAGTAAATACTTTGAGTTTTTCCTGAGTCCCTGGGTTCTTCTGAGTTTTGTCTTAAATGGACTGCTTTCTTCTCATTACATTTGATTTATTCCTGATGCCTTATGGTTTGCTTAGGCTGTATTCTCAAATTCTTTGTGCACTACGTTCTTAAAAATTTTTTTAATCAAAAATTTGATAATAATTAAACTAATTTGTAAATTTATTATGTCACAAGTTGTTATTCATATCAAAAGACTTTTAACAGAATGAGATGAATAAAAAATTAAATTTATCCAATGTGTGAAATATTCTAAAACATTGAAATAGGGTAATAAAGACACTGTAAAGCTACTATTTCTAGTGCTTGTAGGTAAAAATTGTACATTAATGTTTGTTTTTATAAATAAGAATTAGGAGTATAAAATGTTAAGAATTGATTACTTATGTATAATGAATAAAAAATCATTGAAAAGGAAAACTAAATGGATTGGAGATTAACTTTTGTTTTCCTTGTATTGAATAATGATAATGATGTCTTTGTAATATTTTACGTATATTATACATATTCTGAATTCGTTATTATCATTTAGCTATCCCATATCGTGTTGTTGTGTTTCCGAGTCGAAAATTGAGTGCTTCGACTACGTCTGCCAATGCATGGATCATAGTTGCAGGCACACTAGGAGAGACTAAATTAATTCCATTACCGAGACAAGCTCTAGAAATAGTTTTTCAGGTATGTATTTTTTCTATCATTTGTCTTTATCCCAAAGTGATTTATGTTGAACACAATTTTTTAAATGTTTGTGGTATTTTATCATAAAGAAAATAGTTTATGTAATAATCTTGCATAACTAAGGAGATAAATATGTAAAATTTTATGTATAAAAAGTCCAACTTACAGTAAGTTCAATATTAAATTATATTTAGTATTGCAATGGATGGAGTATTCATAAGTATAAATAATCAGCAACAAAAAGAATTGAGTTAATTATTTATTGGGATATTCATATTTAAAACACATATGTATTTAAAAAAATAAATGAAGGAAAATGGCTTCAAATTTGAATTCTGGTAAAGATCCTAATTTTCACATCTTAAATCTTGAAAGAAATTATAAAAATATTTGCATATTTTAAAAAGGGACACACTCTTAAGTAGAAATTGTTCAAAATTAAAATATCTATAGAAATGTTTTATTTGTATAAAATGTTGCTTTTATTTGTGTAAAATATAACTTAATATTTGTATACAGTACTACTTTATAAATTATCACTGTATTGGGCGATGTCCCCATACAGTGATGTCCGTGTCAACCTGCACGTAGATGTCAAACGTCAAATCTTGTACTGGGAGAGCTTCCCAAAGGGGTGGGTCAGTATGACATTCCATGAGTGTATTGTGCACCTCAACCAAATTCATCGTGGGGAAGCCTGATTTTTTAAAGCAGTTGTGAATTGTTAAAGGAGTAGCAGCTATCCAAACCTTGTCAATCATGATCAAAAATGGTAAAATAGAAGTAGTTACATTCTGCTGATTTTTGAGGTTATCCAAAACTCTTTTGACGACTTTACGCTTGTAAAAAGTTTTAAAATTATGTATGATGCCTTGGTCGAGTGACTGATGTTTTGAGGTTGAGTTTGTGAGGAAAAATTATATATAAAATCCCCCTCCCATTTTATAAAAGTGGTGCGTTATTGTACACAGTGCAGTTGTCTAAAAATAAGAGAATACGCTGTTCCTGACTTTTCATATCCGTGTTCAATGAAATCAACCATTTCTTAAAAAGTTTGGTGTCAACTATGCCTTCTTGTTTGAGTGGTATGTGGTAGGGAGTGAGCTTATGCCCTTGAAACCGAGGTTTTTCAGATTTTCCTATGACAAGGAGTAATTTTCTCTGAGTCGTTCATGTTTACAACCTTTTCTTACAACACTTAACCTCTTCTTTCTATGTTTTTCTCTGTGGCATTTTTTTCTTTGAATGTAAATGTTTTTTTCTGGCATACATTTGAAAAAAATTTCAGCTTCATCAGTGTTGAAAATGTTACTTAGATAGTACTCCTTTATTAAATCTGAAAGCAAGTTCTGTCACTTAAAACAAACATTAATGTTGACACTCGAGCTTTCTTTGTACATTTTTTGAAGACTTACCAATTCCTTTTCTTAAAATTTGTAAACCATCCCTCTCTAGCCGAAAACTTGATTCCTAATTCTTTGGCAGATGCTTTAGCCTTATCCTTCAATAAAAATCCACCTACCAGAATATTCTGTCCTTGACACTGTCTCGTCCATTTAACTAAACACTATTCAAGGTGTGGACATTAATTACCTTTATTAATGCATTTTCGCTATTCGAAGATACATTAACAATTTCCCTTTATTCTTAAGAATAGTGGAGACCAAGCTCAGTGAGATATTAAATGTTTTGGCTACATATATCTTCCTATCACCTTTTGCTTTTTAGAAATTGTTAAGCATACATACTTTTTAAAAGACATGATGTCCTCTTCTGAGGTGGGGTGTAAAGTTGTGGCCCAAGGTTTATTGACAAATAGCAGGTTAACAGGTAGCGAACATAAATAATAATAATAATATTTTTAAATAATATAAAATATATGTAAAATAATATTTTTAATTTAGAATCTAAAACTAACGCAAGGCCTATTCACAGTTTCACACTCAGCTACAGGATATACTTAATAGCATCGATGTTGGATAGGCTCTTCTAGCCTAATAGGTCCTCCTGAATTCGACAAGTTTTTCTTTATTTTTATCACTCTTCTCTGTTGCTCCTCTTAACTTTCCACTCCGTCTTTCTTAACCTCTCAAACAGGACTCTTTCATGCCCTTCCAAATCTCTTCCATTCAGGGCCGGACCGTGACCTTTGGGGGCCCTGGGCTAACAATATCTAGGGGCCCTCATAAATAATTAAAATTTTTGCCATTTTCCTACAAAAAAATTTGTACAAGAAAATTTAAAATGTATGAAACTTAAGTTTTTTTAAGTTATACTTCTTATTGGGCGTATGGAAAGAAGGATGAGGGTGAATTTTTACGATGCGCACGCACACCGTCACGGATGCGAACATGCTTTGTCTAGAAATATATAGAATGATACAGATCATTCCCGCCTACGAAATTCTCAGAAAAATATTTCTCTTCACTTCCCTGAAGAAGGAGGCACCCACGTTTGAACCAGGGACCTCTCGAACTGCTGTCGAATGCTCTATCACTAATCTATACCCCCGCGTCATCAAACCTTTGCTTTGCGTTCCGTAGGAACAGATATGAAAATGCTTTGTCTAGAAATATACAGAATGGGACAGATCATTCCCACCTTCGAAATTCTCAAAATATTTTCCTTCACTTCCCTGAAAAAGGGGGCACCCGGGTTTGAACCGGGGACCTCTTGATCTGCAAACGAATGCTCTACAACTGAACTATACACCCTGTACCAGCGAACCTTTGCTTTGCGTTCCGTAGGAAGGGATTCGAAAATGCTTTGCCTAGAAATACAGAATGGGACAGATCATTCCCACAGCACCCAGGTTTGAACCTGTTGGCCTTTGTTCCTTTCGTCATGCAGATTTATCTGTGTTAACTGCTAACCATATCTGACGTCATTGCAAATTGTGTTCGTTTTTCATTGGTCCTGACGTCAGAGGCGGTTTAGTATATGTATGTATTTTTCTTAATGGAATCAGAAGAGTTCCAGAAATGCAGAAATATTTTAATAAACTTAAAATTACAACTACTGTGTGCTTTCCTTCAGAGTCAAACCACACGTTACCTGCAAATTTCAGGTAACAGAAAAGGTTATGGGCCCAGATCTTAACCCATTTAACCGACCAACACAGTAGTAACCTGGCGTTGACTCAGTTAACCTTGCACATTTGGAAGGAAACCAACAGTGCTGCCCAGTCTTTTGACGTGACCCGATTCCTGAAGATCCAGTGTTTCTAAAAAAAAAAAAGGGTCTGCATCTGAATTTTTTGAATGCTAACTTCACAAAGGTTTTTGTGATGGGGGCCGGCTGTCAGCAATTTCCACTTTAAAATTTTGAATATGGAGGCTGCTGGTGTAGAGCGTATTCAACTACTTAACAAGTCGAACTGGAACTCGTGGAAGGAGAATATAAAATTCCTCCTTATGGAAAGAGGTTGCTGGTCATTTATAGAAGGAATGGAACCACCCTTGGATGAGACTACTACAACGTGACAAGTCCGAGTATAAACAGCGACAGGATAGAGCTCTAGCAACAATATACTATGGTATTGACGAGCAATACAGAACTTTGATATCTTCCACTACAAATCCATCTAAAGCTTGGATTATTCTCAAGGAACTGTTTGAACCCGTTTTTAGAGCATCTGTTATACGACTATTAGATGAGTTCTTCTCTATCAAGTTCAATCCAGACACTGAAAGTATTGCTGTATTTATAGCCAGAATTCGGAAGACATTAAATGATATGTACTGTGCTTTCCAAGCAATCAGGACACTCTCTGGAATTTCAAGGTATAGTGCAAATTTTGTACCGTTGGCCTGATGAGGATTTTAAACGATAAAATTGAAATTGAATTAATTGCCGAAGAAAATCGGTTAAAACAGTTAAAAAATGATTTAAGTAAGTTAGAATTTACTGATAATTTTGTTAGTGCTTATGCTGCTAGTAAATTTAAACAACAGAATGTTTCTGAAAATTTTAAACCAAAACCGGATGGAAATAAGTCTAAATTTAAGAAATCTAAAATTAAAGATAGAATAGGGCTTTGCTATTTATGTAAACAAGAAGGGCACTTAAAGAGAAATTGTAAATATTTAAATTCTAATTTCTCAAAATTTAGTGCATCTAATTTAAATTAGTGTTTTGAAGTAAAAGGTAAAAACGAAATTTTTGTTATGGAGACTAATGTAAATAAAGTAATTGATAAATTCAATTGGATTATTGATACTGCTGCTATGCGACATTTCTGCAATAATATAAATTTGTTTAGTGATTTAAAGAATATAGAGGGTAAAACTATGTCATTAGCCGTAGGTAGATTAGAAAGTCCAATAGAAGGTATAGGTACTGTTAAATTTTATATAAAGTTATAAATGGAAGAGAGCATTCTATTACTTTAAAAAATGTTATGTTTTCACCTAAATTGAGACATAATCTGTTATCAGCGCCTTTATTAGAGAAAGCAAATTGTACCTTTAAATGTGAAAATAGTTACGCCCGCCCATCGATGTCTCCGTTTGGAGTGGCGCCGCGCACGAGGAAACTGGACTGCAGTGGAATGGAACCAGGTCGTCTTTAGCGACGAATCCAGGTTCAATCTCAGCAGTGATGACAATCCTATTTGTGTGTGGAGATCCCGTAGTGGACGCCTCAATCCTGCCTTTGCTTTACAGCGACACACCGCTCCCACAGCTGGTGTGATGGCATGGGTGCCATTGCCTTCAATACATGGTTACCCCTAGCATTGATCCGTGGCACCATCACAGCCCAGAAGTATGTCCATTACACCCTGCAAACACATGTGTTTTCACTCATGCAATGGCTCCCAGGAGCCATTTTTCAACAAGACAATGCTCAGCCTCACACGGCAATGTTGTTACCTGACTGTCTCCGCACTGTTACTACCCTTCCTTGGCTTGCCCGATCCCCAGATTTGTCTCCAATCGAGAATATCTGGGATCATTTGGGACGGCGAGTTGGACATCCCCACGAGTTTGAGTGAACTAGAGGCAAGGTTACAGCAAATATGGAACGAAATGTCTCAAGATATCATACAGAACTTGTATGCCTCAATGCCCTATCGTATCGCATCATGCATTCGTGCTAGAGGAGGTTCAACAGGGTATTAAATCTTCCATTCTTTTGCCTTTATATCTGAAATATAAATTATTCTTTTTCTTTTATTTTCTAATCGTTTACTTATATCAAAGTAGTCATCATGTATGTAAAAATTCATTTCATTCTAACCACTCCTTCTTGGTGCGATAATTTTTTTGTCCATGAAAGTATAATTAAATGGCAGTTCTGAGTTTTGTTAATTTAATAAATAAATTTACTGCCTCTTTTCGAAAATCAGCTTTCTCATTTTCATTGTCACTTTCATTGTCTAAAGAATATTCATGAGATTACCATTATTATCTTTTAAGGCTTCAACAGCATCATAGTGACAAGGCATCTGGTAGTGACATTTGGTCTGACTTAAACTTTTTAAGGTAAATTTCAGTTTAGTTTCACCATTTAGAAATTCCCACCTATGAGTTGAAGCAGAGAAGAAACATACTTGTTACACTAAACCAAATAAGTTCACGATTTCAGTTGTATCTCTAACTGATTTTGCAGCAACCATATTCAGAGAATGAGCAGCACACAGCGCATAATTAGAGAAAGAGTGTGTGTGTGTAAATTTATTTTTTTTCTTTTAGAAGACCTTTCACACTATTATATCGACCTGATATATTAGTAGCGTTGCCAAATGACTGTCCCCTTCAATTATCCAATAGCAATCCAGTTGTTTAAAAAATTCTTGTAGAGAATTAAATAAGCATAAGCCTGTGTGACTACTAATCTTATTTAATGAGACTCATCTTTCATGCACTTTTCCCCGAAAACAATATTGTAGTACAATAGCAAGTTGATCATTGTGGGACAAATCTAGCGTTGAATCCATCACAATTGAATAGTACTTTGTGTCATCGTTATTTATTTGAATGGTAATTATTTTAATGATTGGCTTTTTTTTTTGCCCATGTCTCAATTATTTGCTCATATATTGTTTCTGATAAGTACAATATTAACGATTTTGTTCGTAATTCTCGTTTTTCAATATGTTCACAAATGAATGCTTGCAATTCCAGGGTACCCATAAAATTACCATTATGAGGAGAACCAAAAACTTTCTCGGTACCTCTAATTGCTAAACATCGTACAGACAAATATTTTACAGCAAAATAACCGGTTTGGGGAGATTGTGGTAATATTCTGTATATTTTCTTAGTTGCTCCTGTCACTGTCTATCTAAAACAGACTTATTTTCTTTTCGTGTCAACCAAACTAAGATTGAATTTTTATTATTTTCTAAACAACTGTTTCCAATCACTTTTACGTGTTTCCAATCAGAAAAGTTAGCTGTGCATTCAGAATTTGTTTTAGAAAAAGTTTGCAGGTCAAACAAAAACACTACAATTACTAGTTGAATAACATAGCCAATATCTTTCCAGCACTTGGCCATTTTTAATTAAATGATTATTCAAAAACAATCTCTTTTGTTCTTTGTATTCCCTTACCGAAACAGAATTTATATTGTTTGGATCTTGAAATAAGAATATTGTTTGGATCTGAATATAACTCATTTCATGTGAAAGGATGTAATAGATTTTGGCCACGAACCCCGTCAACATATTTCTCAAACTCAAACCCAATATTTTCTTAACGCTTTTCGGTCGGGGCATTACTGATGTCTCTGGATGAACAATATCTTTTTCAGAAGGCTGCTGGTTATCGAGATCTTGCATATTTTCATCAATATTTGCTTATTGTGTTTCTCCGTTTTCTTTGGATAAGTTCCTTTCCCTTTCGCTTGTTAATGTATCTGCGCTTGTTATATTCTTGTTACTTTGTTCCATTGTAAAAGAAGTTAAAATTTTGACACACACACACATTTAATTTTTTCTTTTTCTCGATTTAACAGAAATTTTCGGTTTTCCACTACACTTTTATATTTTCTGCCAGACATATTTATATTGTTAACTAAGTACTTGATTTTCCTGAAAATAAATTAAAAAGTTCAGGTCATAAAATTACAATAGCACAACCGACTGTGTTTAATAAACTTAAAATATTCTAACAGTTTTTTACAAAACCATATAGTATATTTTTGAGATAATCGAAAAAAAAAGTCCCTAGTTAATTTTAAAGAAATAAAAAATCCTTGTCAATACTAGCTGAAACATAAAACGCTTATTATTGTTATTTATTGGCCCATCAGTTTAAAGGGGTATTTAAAAAAATTTAGAATTATTTGCCCCACCTTAAATAAATATTGTTTTTCCATTGTCATCCATTATTTGTTATTTCCTATACTTAAAAAATATATTTATTACAAAAATCTAGATCCCTTTACATTTATCCATAGCATTCATGGGAAATCTCCATAATCCACATAAAATGATTGTTATTTTTTCCCATCGTATAGAAGTAATTCAGTTACTCATCACAAATTTTAAGACAACATACATATTTAT